CTCCTGGCCTGGTGCTCCCACCACCCAGAAAACATGCCTCAGTCTTGCTGCTAGTAATTGAATAGAGAGAAGAATTAATTGTGAGTGGGCTGTGTCTCCCCTCCCCGCTCCTCGTTTGCCCTGGGGCTGCCTTGGTGCTGTGGGTAGTGAAGACAAGGTCATTCCCATGTAACACATCCCAATGGGGTTTCGCCAAGTTCCTTCCCTTTGGGGGGTGGGGGCAGGTTAATGGTGAGCAGTGGGATTGCCCCAGGCTGCTCCGTGCTGCTCAGCCATGGAGGAGCTGCTGTTGCCTCTGAAACGCCCCATTAAAGCCACAGTGAAGGATCAGCAGGCAGGGCTGGGGGCACTGGGCCACGGGGCTGGGAAGGGTGAGGGTGGAGTGGGCTAGTATCCCTCTTGATTTGCTGGGAAACCTCCATGTCTTTATTTTGGGGTGGAAAAAGTTGTTTTATGGCCAAACTTCCTCCAGGCATGGCTGTAAAACATTACAGGATTCTGGGGTTTGTGCATTTTTGCTCTTCTTCATATGGTATTGGAGCAGAGAGAGATGCTCAGGTGTTGGGCAGTGCTTTCTGCACTTGTGTCCTCACCTTTGTGTGCCCCAGCCTTTGGCTAACCCTCAACCCTACTGCCTACACTGTCTGTCAGCTCTCACAGTCCCCCAGGCAACTGCTCTGCAGACTGTCTGAGCCCTCTGCACCTGCAGAGAGGAGCTCTGCCCGGCCTCTGGCCGGCTCAGTGTTGCTGTGTGCTGCTGCTGCAGGTACTGCTCTCCTCCATCAGCCGGGATTAGCGCTGTGGCCCTGTCTGTGGCCCTGCCTGGCTGGAGCAGGGAGCTCTGCCTGTTGGCCTCTCTCTGTGAGTGACAGGAAAGTCTTGGTTGCTTCTCCACCTGATGGTTTCTCCTGAAACTATCCACTGGTTTCCCCCTGAAAGAGGTATTCAAGGCAAAACTCCTGTGGGTGTTTTGCTGGCCTCCCCTCACTCCAAATTCTCCTAGATTCCTCTTCTAATATGAGCTCCCAGTTTGCCAGGAGCCCTTGTCTCCATTCAGCCCAGTTTGGACTGCTTGCCCCTAAAGCTGTGGGTGGTGTTGTTTCTCTTGTCTCTGCCTTTCTGAAAGAAGGGATGCTAGTGGAGAGGTTTCAGGCTGATGCTCCTTGCTGGCTTTGATCCCTTGTGGGGAGCAGGAGCTGGCACCACTGTTCGTCATCCTCCACAAGGAAAGTGGTGTATGTGGACTATTTCTGGCTAAAACTGGGCTGGACAGGGATGATAAAGAAGCAGGCAGGAAGCTGGAGATGGAATCTAGCTCTGTCCTGCAGATGTGCTAAGGGAGATCCTGAAAGAGAGAAGGGATTGTGCTGGGGTGGCCCTGGGCTTTGGAGGTGCCGTGCTGAGCATCACAAGGGGAATGGGAAGAGCTTTCTTTAGCACCTGCTGCACCCTCCCCAGTCTCTGCTGTACAGAGAGGCACAGACCCCTCCCAGAGTTTCACGGTCCCTCACCTGCTGCTCCTTCCATCTCAAATCCTCTCCTGATCTGCTTCCTGTCTTATCTCAGTCTAGGCTGCTCCAGGAGCTGCCTCCACACTCCCCAGCCTCCAGGAGGTTCTGTGTGGGGTGAAGGAGGTGGGCAAAGTTTGAGACGAAGCCTGGACCCCAGCCAGGCTGGGACTGATGCCTCTGTGTCCTGGTTCCTCTCTCAGCTCCTGCTTCTTGGTATTGTAGCCCTGTAGCTGCACCTTGGTACCCTCAGCTTTGTGGGAGAGGGGATGGGAGGGCTGCAGCTCACATCTCTGCTGCTAATGATTCATCTGCAGTGTTTCATGTCCCTGATGAACATGAACATGAGCTCTTCTCTGAAGGAAAACCCTTCTGTATCTGACCAGTCTAAATATGGTCCCAGTTCTGCAGACCGGGGCAACAGAGCAGTGGGACAGCAGGACAAGATCTGATGGGAAGAAGCTGGTAAGCTTCTTCCAGGGGTCACAGCCCAATGGCTGCTCGGTGTGCTGGGGGCACAGCAGGTCCCCAGGTCTTTCTGCCACACTGGGCTTTCTTCCACCATCTCCATAGCAGTTTGGCTTGAGGCCCAGCTGGTCTCAGGAGCATAGAGCTGGAGTTTCTCTTCTCCCCAGGAGAGCCAGACAAGCCATTTAGCCTCAGTGCCAGGGGATGGAGGGGACCCTCACCCTTTGGACCAGGGGGCTTATCTCAGATGGCCTGTGAAGGACCTGACAGGCAGGCAAATTTCCCTTGTCCTGCCTGGCATGGGCAAGAGCCTAGCCAAAAATGTTTTTTACTTAAAAACAAAAGCGGGTGGGGGTGTCACTCTTGATGCAAACACAGGTGGGCTGGGAAGCACCAAGGGAAGAAGGCAAATGCCTCTGTGCAGGCCCCCATCTTCCCTGCAAGGAGCAGATGATCCAAGGCATGCAGCAGAGGTGGGGTGAGCCCAGCAGCTGTGACGTTGCCTGTCCCTGGCTGCTGTCACTGACCTGCTCATTCCTTTTCCCTTCCCAAAGGTGGGGTAGGATGGGGGCTGTGGAGGCTTTGGCTGTAGGCCTGAGGATGGCTGACAGGAGCATCGTCTGTCATCCCCTGTCAGGCAAAGTGTGGCCACCCCTGCGTGATCCCACACTGGCTTGATTTTACAGCCATGACTGGCACTTGAGCCTGTTTGCTGAGGGCAGGGGGCACACGGGACTGTCAGCTTGCAGCTGCCTCTGACCCCATACAGGACACCGTAAATCTCCCAATTTAAGGCAGTCTGGGCTGTTCTGGAAATGGTGCTATTGAGTAGACTGTGGTGTACACGGTGACATGTGCCTGCCTGACCCCGTGCCCACCAGGGATAAAGTAGAGGTGGCCACTGGTGAAGGAGAGCAGCATCTGGGAAATAGACTGAATTCCTTGATTTTTTTATATGTAAAAAAGTATGGATTGCCTGAATTTAGAGCATCAGGAGTGTCTAGTGTTTCCTGCTCTGATTTTGCCTGGTTTTCCTTAGGCAGTACAGAGAGATGAATAGGAGGAACCACCTCACCTGTACTGTGGTATATCAGCTGTTCACACAGCTCAACCTGGAGGGTTTTTCTCCTGACCATGTGCTGTACTGATGAACTGAGTGTATGAATGTGTCGTGCCCTTGGAAACCAGCTCCTGCTTCTGCCAAGCATCTTCAGTGCCTATCCTGCCTGTTCCTATGGCCCCCCCTAAATGCTTCCAGTTAAATGCAGGCTTGGCCCAAGACTTCTTCCTATACATTGGAAACCCCCTTAGAAACTCTTTTTGCACCAAAAAAAAAAAAACCACAAAAAAAAAAAAAAAAAAAAAACAAACAAAAAAAAAAAAAAAAAGGGGAAGGAAAATGAACAATGAACTGAATTTTGGAATAACTTTGGCCAGCACAAGGCAGTTGCTCATCCTGTGCTTGGATTTGTTAATACTGATGCAGGGACTGTTTCCACCTTGGGCCCTGTGGGGTCAATGTGACAGGGCAGTGCCTGGGCAGTGCCCAGGCTCCCCTTCCTGCCTTGCAGCACCCCTCAGCAGTGAAGGATGCTGAGCAAGATCAGGTGAGAACCCTGGGAGATCCATCCCCAAAAGTGACAGTAGGCAGACTTTTGGGGTGACACATTGTGTGGTGGGGAAAGGTGTTGGTGCACTTGTGTCTAGGGCTGTTGGGTGCCTGAGCAAGGAGGGAAGTGCACAAGCTGGGTGTCAGTGTGCATATGAGAGAGAGGCATGTCCTGCAGCTGCAGCGGTGTGATTGTGTGTGAGGCAGAGGGTTGTGTTTTGCGGTTAGGGGTAAGCAAAGCAAAGTGTGAATGGCTGTGCTGGAGTGTGCAGAGTGTGTGAGGGGTGCAAGTGAGAAGGAGGGGACCTGATGGGAAAGGCTGCACACTGTGAGAAAAGGACTGTGCGCAGCCTGCGTGTGTGAGGGATGCCTGCACGGATGTGCGTGTGCGGGAGGGCTGCACAGGCGTGTGCGGGGCTGTGTGTGTGTGCGGGCGGGCCGTGCACGCCTGTGTGAGTGTGGCTGTGCTTGTGCGGCGGGGCAGCCGCCGCGCTGTCACTCAGGGGCGGCTGACAGGAGCTGCCTCTCCAGCGGCGGCAGATAGCGCTGATTGCTGATTCGAGGAAGCAAAATAGCAATTGTAATTATGGGCTCTGATAAGATAAAGGAGGGCGCGGGGAGCGCGGGGACCGGCAGCGGGGCACGGCCGGCAAATTAGCAGCTGTCACTCAGCGCCGAGCAGGCGGCGCCGGCCCCGGCCCCGGCCAGGTACCGGCCCCGGGGGCCGCCCGCCGCAGCCCCGCCGCAGCCCCCGCCCCGGTGCGCAACAGGTGGCGGGGCCGGGAGGGCCGGGGCTCGCCGGAACAATGCAGCCCTCGGCGGCCCTGCCCGGGCTGCGGGGCTGAGCCCCGTCCCGCCGCCGCCCGGCCCCATGGCCCCGCAGCGCCGGCCCTGAGGGCGCCCGCCCGCTCTACAAGGTAAGCGCCCGGCGGGGATGCTCGCGAACAAATCGGGGGTGTCCCGCTCCCCACCACGGTTGCGGAATTTGCTCAGCCTCACTCCTTCTCGAAACTCCGGCCCCCTCCATCCCCCTCCTCCGGTAATCCTTTTAATGTCTGGCACGTCCCGGGAGGGCTCGCCCGCCCGCTCCCAATCCACAACGCGCCCGCGGAGCGGCGAACCCCCAGCGGGGGGAACCGCGTCCCCGACCCACCCTCCGAGCCCTTAAACCCTGTTTTACGGATGGGGAAACTGAGGCACGAGGTGGGGAGGGAGTCCCGCCGACCGCTGGCCGCGGAGCCCGGCCCTTAGCGGCAGCTCCAAGCCCCGGCGACACCTGGCCCGCTGCTCGCTTCGCTTCGGCAGGTACCGCCGGGACCGGGAAGGGAGCCGGGGTCCCGCCGGGCTTCCCCCGTGGCGGCTGCCGCCCCCCGGCCGCGCCCGCCCCCGCCGTCGGGGTTGCGGGTCGGCTTCGCCTTCTGCGGAGGCAGCGGGGCGGGGGCCTCCCCGCGGCAGGGGCCGCCGGCCGAGCGCCCCGGGGGCTGGTCGGGCGGTGGAGACGCCGCCGGGCCTTTCCCCTCTGTAGCCGCTTGTGCCCTCCTTTCTTTGGGGCGAGGACGTGCTGGCAGGGCGAGAGGAACCGAGGAGCTGAGACAGCGCCGCGCCCCCCGGGCGCTCCGCACCGCCGCCGGGCCCCCGGCCCCGCACCGGCGCCGCGATGGACCCTTGCTCTTCGCTCTTCAGCTACGTGTGAGTACCGGCAGCCGCAGCCCTCCCGCCCCGCGCCCGCAGCCCCCCCGGCTCACACCTCTCTCCCGCTTTTCCCCCTCCCAGGTTAATGCACTTGTTCGTCCTCTGCCTGCAAGCCCAGGTAAGTGCCCGCTGGGCTGCCCGGCTTTGTTCGCCCCGCGGGGATGGGGGGTGCCCCGCCGCCGCCGAGCGGCTCGGCTGGGAGTGAGACAGGAAAGAGGAGCAGTTTAAAACCCAGGAGACAAAAGTTGCCTGGTTGTAAAAAGCCGGAGCCGAGGACGGGACGCGAAATAAGGCGCGGGGGACTACGGCTGTGAGGCAGAGATTACCGGGATTTCAAGGAAATACGCAGGGTTATCTTAAAGCAGCTTTAATTCCCGTCCCCGGGACCCCTAATTACGCTGTGGATACCCTCATCCCTCTGCTCCGTTTTTCCCCCCCTGCATTGCTTCATCCAAAAAAGTAAAGCAGAATTTAGAAAAGGAAAAGAAAACCTGCAAAAACCTTAGTAAAAAGCTCAGGTTTTGATTCATCTTAGAAGTGTCAGACTTCAGCATCGCTGGTTTGTATCGGCAGAGACAGAAGTGACATGAATAGATTAAACATCCCGGGCAGAGCTTGTGCAACACCAGCATACCAGCAGGCACGCGTCGCTGGGAGCGGTGCGCCTCCAAATCGGGGTGAAGCCCCCCTTCCCCCTGAGATTACAGGTGCAGAAGCTTTGTTTAAAATGCCCTTTAAGCTACTTTTTAAAATTGTTATTTTCCTGGAAGCTTGCAGGGGGAGGAAAAAAATTGAGTTTCCAGCTGAAAACTGAAGGGAACAGAGCACTGGGATTGTGCAGTTGTATAAAAACATAGCTGTAATATTTTGGAGTATGAGATGGAGACCAAATAGCAGCATGGCTAATGACCTTTTCTCCACATGGTACCCTCATCAGAGCTGGGGAGAGAATCCTGCTGCATTATCCAAAACCCTTCTATAGGAAACACACATGCACAGGCAGAAGCAGAGGGAGAGAGATGACATTGTCAAGGAGAGATATCTCTATAAAGCTGGCTTTGGGAGAGCAGCGGCTTTTGCTTTTATTGTGGTTTTCTGTTGTTGTTTAAGACAGGAGGAAATCTTCCCATTTGACGTGGGGGTGGTGGGGGGTAGCCCCAGCCTTCTGATGTTGAAAGGAGCGATCTCCTAACATTTGCTCAGAATACATCTTTATAAATGTCAGGGAGCAGCGAAACTTTCCAGACTTAAAAGAGGGATTTGAGACGAGGGGGGAAAAAGACTTCTGTGCCAGCTCGCGAGCCTGGGCTGAGGGGGGAGCAGGTTTGGCTGCTCATGAAAATCATTTAAAGCCCAGGAGTAGCAGTGCCGGGTCTGAAGAGGATGGGCTCAGCTGCGGCTTCTGGACTAAAGGGCTGGGTGTGCTGGGGCTGGGGACACCGCCGTGCTGGCAGCAAACAGCTGACTGGGGATGAGAGCTGTGTTTGCACGGGGAGCATGTTGGTATCCTTGGGTGGTTATACCGCTAAATACCTGCACTAGGGCATGGTTTTCTTGTAATTCTTATGCCTCATAATTCTACCATCCCTGTGAACTTTGTGTTTGAAGAGCTTAATAAGTGGGGTACTTATTATAATAATAGAGAGCCTGAGACCCAGAGGAGGACAGGCAGCTGTTGAAACTGTCGGGGTGTGTGCCTGGGGCAGCTGGAGCAGTAGTATGCTCCTGCAGAGGTTAGAGAGGTGTGGGATGAAAGAAAGCATCAGCCCCTCGAGAGGGTAACGCAGTGCCATCCTGTATGTCCCACCTTGATTCCCTCCAGCTTCCAGCCTTGATGCCCATCTCAAGGTACCCCAGTCCCAGTCAAGACCCACTGAGTCCTGGAGGGGTCTCTGGGGTCACCAAGCCCTGTTCTACTCCTGAGCTACCAGCACCTCTGCTCAGGGCATGTCTGGAGAGGGCACAGCTCTGTATAGGGCTCTGGTCACTGTGTCCCCGAGCTTAATGCTCCTTCTCCTGGAGAGACTTTGATGGCACAGGAGGCACTGCCACGGTCCTGGCTCCTGGCCTCCCGTAAAGCCCAGCTGGAGGCCAGCGATCTCAGCTCAGCCCGCTTGCCCCGCTGAGGAGTAGAGATTATAATGGTGTGTTGTATATTTTTTAATTTCCTAAAGGTAACTGTTCAGTCCCCACCTAATTTTACACAGCATGTGAGGGAGCAGAGCCTGGTGACAGATCAGCTCAGCCGGCGGCTTGTCCGTACCTACCAGCTGTACAGCCGGACCAGCGGGAAACATGTGCAGATCTTGGACAACAAGAAAATCAATGCGATGGCAGAGGATGGGGATGTGCACGGTAAGGACACACGATGTGGGCAGGCGAGGGGGGAGCTGGGGAGGTGTTCGCAGCCCAGCGTGGCGATTGATGATTTCCGTCCTGTTTGTTAGCCAGAAATCGTTAAAATCGTTCGGCTTGTGGGGGCTTGTAAAAGGAGAACATAGGGGTCAGTAATCAGCAGCTGTGTGATTCAAGGTGAGGGCAGGTTCCCTGTGCCAAGGGAGGGGACCAGTTCTTGAAGGATAGGCTCTGCTTCTTTCCTTTTAATTCTTGGTTTGCACCTGACTCAGAGGGCTGGGTGTGCGGCATCCTGAGCATCATCAGACATTTCATCCCGGGTCTTTGCAGGGATGGGAATTCCCTGAGACTTTCTTTTGCAAGAGAAATGGAAAGTAAATTTGAAAAAGAAGAGGCAGGGAGGAGAAAGGGAATGACTGCTTGGGAAGCCTTCCCTGATCTAGGACTGTCTAAAGTGGCATTTTCCTATCCCATCCCTTTCTTCTCAAAAAAAATCACGAGCAGAGGGTCAGCGAGGCAGTCAGCTGCAGGCAAAGATGCTGCGGTGTCTCCAGAGACAAAGCAGGGACTCTGCAAGTGTGAAAGCCTGCGCTCTGCCGTGGCCTCTCTGCATCACCCTGGCACCCATTTCTTAAAACCTCCACTCTCTCTGGGGCAAGGGGACCGGTCCCTCTACTGGGGACTCTCGAGGCCCAAATACTTTGACCGTGTGAGCTGCTGACATGCTGGGATGGTCAAATGCAGCGCAGGGGTCAGTGGGGCCAGCGAGCCCCGGCACGGCCGCGGGGCCGGCTGTGGGAGGCCTGGTCCTGCACCCAGGGAAGTGCCTGTGTTCCTGTGTGTTGCACATAGGTATCACAACTCTTTTTCTTTGGCATTATCTGCAATTTCCCTTTCTTCCTTGGGTAGATTAGTAGAAACAATTTTTTTTTTCTTTACCTTTCTGGTTTTTGGGATCTATTTCTTCATTTTGCTTTGGCTGAAAATTTCACGCTGGATATTATCAGTACAAGCACAGTGCAGGTTACATGTGATGTTTCATACATCTAGAATTAATCTTGCAAATGAATTGTTCCCATCCTGGAGCAGCTCTAACTTGAAAGGGCAGTAGCTAATTTCTGAAGCAAAAAAAAAGAAAATCCCATCTTGTTTTAGACCTCTAACGCCTGGATTTTAAAAAACTGTTAGTGCATATTTAAATAACAACCAGGTTTAAATACGGCCAGAAGGAGGGGACTGGTGGTGGCTTGAAAAACTCTATTAAAATGTAATAAAAAAAGGTTAAGCATTTGAAGAGCTAAGGAGGAAAATGAAGACTGATCTAAACCAGAAAGAGAACAAGCAGTTTTTCAGATGTAAAGTTTTAAAAGAGTTGCAAGTCTGTAAATGTTAAAATAGAGGTTCAGGATTGTTCTGTATGAATCTCTAGGGAGGCCCCCATGTCTGGAAGAACTATTAAAACGCTTCTTACTTTCACCTTTTTTAACATTTCCTGAATACTTTCTCCTCTTCGCAGTCCAGTTGGGGGATCAAGTGTGTCTCGCTGCATTTTTTCAGCATTTACGTAGCCACTTTCCCTTCAAAGTTTGAGCATGAAACATAATTTTACTGGGATAAATCTGTCACTTAAATGAAAGAATAGAGTTGAAAACGTTAAGCCTCCCCCACTCCCCAAAAGAGGAAGGGGAAAAAAAAAAAGGAATCCCCCCAAATGTTATTTAGAAATCCACTTTTGTAGCAAAGATCTCCCCTCCCCAAGCCCTTCTTTCTGCTTTTTTTTTTTTTTTTTTTGTCTCATTTTTGGGGGTGGGCGTGTAAAAGGGGTTGATTTATTTTTGCAGATGACCCCTTTCCCCACGCTGACATTTTTACAGCCGACTTAACATCGAGTCCGGTGTTTTCAGTTATTTGTCTTAATTGTCAATATTTGATTGACTTTTTTTAATTCTAAGGGAAGGCGGGTGGCTGGTGCAGCCCAGCTTGTCCCTCCTAGGCTCTGCCTGCCACCAAGAAAGCCACTTTCAGCTGCAGCTTGGACTCGACCCCACGAGTGGCTGGAGACACAGCACAGCCCTCTGCCCTCTTGCTGGTTTTTGTCTGTGGGTTGAGGCTGGAGTTTAGAAGGTTCGTGAGCTGCCTGCAAGGGTCTAGGGGTGCAAGTCCCTGGGGCCAGGTTGTCTTCATCCTCTGTGGATAAGAGATCTGGAGTGACACATGGGCTGGACTCGTGCAAGGCAGCAAACCCGTCTGGTAGCTGTAAATCACAGCTGCCCTTTGGGAAAAAAAAAAAAAAAAAGAGAGAAAAGTCCAAAAGAGTAGCAACGTGCATCTTTAAAGCAGGGTTTTGTGCTCACTGGGGCCAAGGCCTCCCCACTCCCTCCCTCTTTCCCTCTTCATGCCTCCCTCCCTCCCTCCCTCCCAGCTCTTTCTATCTCTCAGAGAGAAAAATCAATTCTCCTCAAACCTTTTACTGCCTCCAAGATCAATTCCACCCCTTTCCCCAATATAGATAAATAGGGGGTCACTGTCTCAGTGCTTTGTTTGCAGAGTGCCATCGCTCCCGTGGGTGGTTTTTGGGGATGCTAGGTGCTTGTCAGGCTCTGGGCATTGATCAGCACAGCCTGGAGTTCGCTCTTCCCAAGTTTCTTGTCTCTGAGTTCAATCTGTGCCTGCCTAGGAGTAGGGGGATGTGAGTGCAGGGTAGCCTGGGGACAAGAGATGCTGCAGGGTGATATTGACAGGAGGGGGGTGCCTGCATGCACATCAAGCTTGGCCTGTCTAACAGCACCAAATCAGTTGTCCCCAGAAAATTTGGGGATGACTTTTCCATTGGTCAGCTCAGCAGCTGCCAGTACTGCCTGCTCACTGTCCCCACCCTTGGTGCCACTGACCTCAGTAGCATCGTCGTAAGAGGGATACAGGGTCGAGGCACTGCAGAGACAGAAAGGCCATTTGCCCCTAGCTCAGAGTGTAATTTAGGCTCAGTTTAACTTGTGTGTGCACCTACCTTCTGCTGTTCATCCTTCTGCAGAGCCTCTCACTCCAGAGCCACATCGCTGCCCTCGCTGGGGCTCGCTGGAGGCTGAGCATCCTGGGGTAGAGATGTGCAGGCTGCATGCAGTCAGCTGCAGTCCTGAGAAACTGAGTATCCCTTGTGCAGGAATCGGAGAGGATAAATAAGGCATCGATGAACTTAAACCCATAATAAGAGTGTAGGCTTGGAACCTTTGTGGCCTGTCCTCTAAATGCCTGGTTGGATAGCACTTACAGTACTATGGGCTGATGCTGGACAAGAGCTGATGGGACAGTCACAGCTGGCTTTTTAACATCGTGGGGAATTCTTTGGTGCTTGGCATAGCACAGACCTTTTGAGGTGCAAACAGGTAGCCACCATTCCCATCGGGGTTGCTCTGGGGACAGCAGCTGCAGGAGCGGGAAGAAGGATGTCCTGTCCCCATCCTCCCCCTTTCCTGGGAATGGATGGGCTTTGGGGCTTGGGTTCCCAGGGTGAAGGCAGGGAGGGAAGGTGACAGGTCTATTTATAGGCGGCCCATCGACCCAGCAATTTGCATAGCTCCTTCGGAAGTCGATCGATGCCTCCATTAAAAAACTGAGACCAAATCAATATGCCCTCTCGACTCGTGCAAAGGTGAAAGGCATTAAAAGGGTGGCTGTACCCTTCATGCCTCCCCTGCCAGCTGCAAAGTCACTGCTCCTTCTGCAGCCCTGGCCTGGCAGAGGGACACGGAGCAGTGTCCCCTGGGCTGGGGACAGCTGGCAGCACGCTCTGCGTTTCCAGAAGGTGACGGTCTGGTTCTTGCCCACAGGCACACCCAGTTTGCAGGGCAGTTACCCTGTTATCTGCCAACCAGTGTGTGCCCTGCTCACTGCCCTGCCTCCATCTGGGACACCCCTGTGACACCTGAACCACTGAGCCCTGTGGAGCTGGGTAAAACAGAGCTACTCCCTGTCCAGCACAGCTGAAGGTGGCAAAGGGACGTGTCCAAGGTCATGCAGAGACATAGGGGCAAGTTAAGGGGGAGGGGGACAGGCTGCATCTTAACCTCATGTGCTGATTTTAGGGCTCTCTGGCCCAGCTGCCAGAGATCACGTGCCTGCAGTGCCCAGCATCAGGGTGCGTTGCTGGGGTCTCCATACCTGTGCCAGCCCTATCCCACATCCCCTCTGACCTCCCTCCCTCTCTCCCCCTGCTGCTCTCCCCAGCCAAGCTCATCGTGGAGACAGACACCTTTGGGAGCCGCGTGCGTATCAAGGGGGCAGCCACAGGTTTCTACATCTGCATGAACAAGAAGGGGAAGCTGATTGGCAAGGTAGGGTGCGAGGGTATGGGCAGGGCAGGGAACTGCCGGGGACTCGAGTGGGGACTGCCAGGAGAGGAGCTCTGCCTTTTAGGGGCAGGGGGACAAGCCATCCTGCAGCCTGAGGGGAGCAAGAGAGGTGGGCGGGTGCCGTGTGTGGCACATTCCTTCTATCTCTCCGAACAAATAGGCGGATTGCTGGTCTATTCTCCACGATTACATGGTACAAGTGCCAGGAATGTTAAGATGCTCCATGGGGCTGGCCCCAAGGCCAGACCCCACCACCCGCTGGTTTGTCATGCAGTTTCTGTGCCTTGATGCCCCTTCTCATGGTGGGGGGGGGGGCTGGACATGTAAAATCCCTCCAGAACAGCGATTATCTGCAAGGATTTTCTGCTGCAGCTACTTCCTGGGGGCTGCATGATGTGGGTCCCTCTCTAGTCCTGCTACTGCCCATAATGGGGGGAGCTCAGTTCCTGGCTACTCCATGCTCCCCTCACCACTGACCTCATGTCACTTCTCATGCCAATCAATGCTCCTTGATACCCCTCCTATCCTAAAGACCCTGAGAGATAGGATGGGTGGGTGAATTGGTATGGAGAGTTTGCTTATGGTTACACCCAGACACAGATGGAGGCAAAAGTTTCCCTATGGATGTGGTGGAAGTTAAGGCTGGGACCAGCTGGATAGGTACATAAGCAGCAATGAGCAGTATTGTGTCACACTGCCTTCTCCCTGCAGCTTGTTAAGGAAAGGCACATTTTGGGCAATTCTGGCTTGTGGGAGAAGTGAGCCTTTGGTTGCCCACAAGCTCTGCAGCCCCACAGCAGTCAGTGCAGGGTGGGGCAGTGAGAAGCAGCCCTCTGAGAAAGTTCCCATTGCTTAAATCCCTGCTCCTATCCCCTTCTCAGAGCAACGGCAAAGGCAAGGACTGCGTCTTCACGGAGATCGTGCTGGAGAACAACTACACGGCGCTGCAGAACGCCAAGTACGAGGGCTGGTACATGGCCTTCACCCGCAAGGGCCGCCCCCGCAAGGGCTCCAAGACCCGGCAGCACCAGCGGGAGGTGCATTTCATGAAGAGGCTTCCCAAGGGCCACCAGACCACCGAGCCCCACAGACGCTTTGAGTTCCTCAACTACCCCTTCAACCGGAGAAGTAAAAGGACTAGAAACTCCAGCTCCAGAGCGGGCCCTTGATGTGCCCGCCCCTGCCTCCTCTGCCTGCATCTCTCCTGGAGGATGCTCCTCTGAGCTTGGTGGACTATATGTAGAGACTTTCCCATATGGGTATTAAAGAAAACAAAACAAAACAAAAAAAAAAAAAAAAAAAAAGGGAGGGGGGGAGGATAAAAAAATTACCTGCTCTAGTTGTTGGTACTTTTGGGGGGGTGTTTGGTTTTTACAAAAAAAAAGGAAAAAAAATAGGAAAAAAATGAGAGAGGTTCTATTTTTGTACTCCAGCTTTAAAAGTAATGAAACATTCAAAGACTGGTGAAGGGAGAAGAGCCCTTCACTTAGAAATGTTCTAGTCTGTTTGGGGTTGCGCTTTATTTTGTAATATTTTTTTTTTTTGGTAGCTCTAGGGGGAAAGGAGTTTAAAAATCATGTTTAAAACAAACAAAAAATCATAGAAATCCAAATCTGGAAACAACGTCCTACTTAAATGAACTGAACTAATGCTATGCTTGCTGGAGAAGATGGAGAAGCTGGAAAACAGCTAAGAGGAGAGGATTTATTTTGGAGGTGGTTGGAGGCCTCCTAGGTGGTTTTTGCAGCCTGGGTGATGTGGGGACACTGCCAATGGGGGCTGACTGTGACACCTGGGGTGAGGACCACTGGATGCTTTCTTTCCTTGGATGTGCCTACTTCTTTGGCTGAGCAAGGGGTTGCTGGAAGTCGCATCTTTCTGAGAATGCTGCTGGCTTCACAACTCTCAACTTACTTTTTTTCTCAGGAGGGGACAGGGGTGATGGATTCCCCAGAGAAGGTCCTGAACTGACTTGGTACCTCTTACCCACGGGAGCATCTTTGGCATTTGGTTTGTTTTAAAGTACTAAGGTACAGCTGCTGTGGAGCGGGCTGATAACTGATATTATTTTTTTCCCCATGTGGAAAATGTGAACTTCTCACCAAAACCTGATATTTTTTTCTGTCTATATTTTTTTATGAGATGCAAGTTTTAATCCATAAAATTAAACAAAGTTTACAAATTATTGTGGAGCCATTTCAGGCTGTTTTGTTGTGATATTCAGTATCTTGTCATAATAGTTGGTGCTTCCATTGCCAACCATCTCTTACAGGTTTCTTCTTTGACCAGAAATACTGCCATCCTTGCCCCCCCCCCACCCCAGGAAGGGAGGGGGTTTCTTTCAAAATTTCTGAATTGACAGAAGCCCAATTTTATATTTAGAAGGAAAAAAAAAAAAACCACCAAAGGAAACATTTAATCTCTTGAATGAACATCCTCAGCCAGCCCTGCTCTGCACATGCTGCCCTGGGACTGTGACTCTCTCCAAAGGGTTAAACCAATTATTCTTCACAGGGAGGGCAAACAAAGACACTGGATAGGAGCCAGAACCAGGGGTGACTTTTCATCCAATCTTTTTTGATTGTTTGAGGTTTTTCCTGTTACCTTGAGGATTTTTGTTTTGTTTCAGTTGTGTACAAATTGAATATGAAATGATTGAAATATTTATTTAATATGTGCATTAAAAGTTTGTATTAGTCTAACTGAGCCTGATGCTTTCCAGGGAGGGGCTGGGGCTGGACAGACATATTGGAGAGGGATGAAAGAGGATGGCAGTGAGGTGCAGGATGGGGCTGAGGCTGCTGCTTGGTGCAACTTCCTTCCCAGGGGAACAGCTCTGGAAAGTGGGAGAATGCCCCAAGATTTTGGATCCAGATGAGTCTTATGGAAATCATGGTTTTCCTTGCAGCAAATTCCAGATTTAATATGCAGATGCCACCTTCTTGACGTGTGGGAGCAAAGCCCACTGCAGGTTGAGTGGGAACAGTGTGCAATGGAGCCTTGGCCACTGCTTGCAAGGACAGGATGAAACTTTCCAGGAGAAAGCTGATATTTGCTCCTCTGTTTCCCAGAAGAGCTTGTGGGCTGTGCAAAATGGGCTGTTGCATCCCTTCCTTCAGACAATACTCAACCCAGCTGCAGTGCTGGGTCTTGCTTACAGGAGCTGACCAGGGGTTCAGACATGGAATGGTTCAAAGGTATGGAAGCATGCCAGGATAAAACTGTGAAATCAGTTAAACTGCACAAGTGTAGCAGCCCTGCAAGGTGCATCTCACCATCACTGGTGCCAGCCCTGGGTTTGCTGCAATGCTGGTGGGGTGCCTTGGCATCACTTAGTGCTCATTCTGAGACTGATCTGTGGGTGAGGCTGAGCCTTCCCCTGGCTGACACAGCGGCCTGGGCTGAGCTGGCAGTATTTGTCAATAATTTCAAGGAGTGAAAAGAAGGGCTGAGCACTTGGCCTTGCTCTGCACCTGAGCATTGCTGCTGCATCATGGAGATAGATCAGGGATGTTGTTTAAGCCACAGGACTGCATGGATTGCTTTTGTCTGACTGTTCCAGGAGGGACCCGAGGGCTGCCTAAACCTGAGGATGACAGTGGGGGCAGACTTTGTTGTGGTTTACAGACGACAGGAATTAAAAGTGAATTGCTCCTGGTCTTTCCCCAGGCAGAGATGGTGTTTGATAGTCCTTAATGGTTGCTTTTCTTCCTTTAATTTGTCTAACTGCTTTTCCTAATGGCTTTGTGAACAGGAGTGAATTGGTGCCAGGTGCCTGCTCCAGGTACGGGTAGCAGAGGCACAGGACCGACTCCATATCTTCTGTCTTGTCACAAATGCCTCAGCTATGGTAGAGAAGGGCATGCTGTGGGTGCTCAGCCTCCATAAAGGCTGTTCCCCCATCCTGCCATCGGGGGATGCAGCCAAGAGCTGGAGCAGCGAGCAGCCAGCACCCTGGGGTTTGAGGTGGGTATGGACACTCGTGTGGCCCTGCACAGCTCTGTACCCTCAAATCCTGCTGTCTTTTCTACCACAGTGAAAGGCAGCCAGGCCTGGCCTCTGGGAAGGGATCCCCAGCTCACTTGGTCCGTGGTTAATCAGCCACTTTTCATTGAGGGGTTTTTGGGTGGCCATGGAGCACTACAGCTTGAGACTTTGTTTATTGTTTGAATTTGTCTGACTTTAGCTCCTAGTCAACAAAGGTTGTTTCACCGTTGCTTGGAAGATTAGAGACCCCAATTCTAGTAAGTTAATGAGTAAGTGAATTAATTAATTAATTAATTGCTCCTCATATCCTGTCTCTGCACTGATACCACTTAGTCCTTGATAAATCTGGAGGAGCTCATGCTCTTCCTGGCCCCTGCAGGTGATGTGTACATGGTCCCCAGGGCTGGTGGCTCCCACTACCCATGCAGGGAGGTGGGGACAGTCCCTGGTGTTCCTCCACAGTTACAGGAACTCTGGCTGCTATTTGAATGCATAGGGTCAATCATCAACCCAGGAATCTGGGACTTGTCCTTTTTCTGTCTTCATCAGCAGGTGTGTGAACTAAGCTTGAGAATCACAGCCATCCAAGGGCCCTGGGGACTGCAGGGTGCTGAGATGGGGCTGGTTGCAGGAGAGGGCTGAGGATGAGGGGCTTTGGGGATGGGCCTTTACTTTTGTTAACTCATGCTGTTAGCATGGGTGTTTTGGGCAGAAGCCCCTGCTTTGAGCTAGCAAAGTCATTGTGGTGGGCATGTGCCATGGCTAATGCCACCATTCCCAGTGTCACCCTGCAGCCCCTCACTGCCACCAGCTGGCTGGAGCGAGGTGGCAGATGAAGCAGGAGAGGAGCCTTGCTGCTCTGGCTGTTGGAGCAGGGATGGTGGCCCATCCTGAGCTCCAAGCAGTGGTGTGTCCCTGTCCCTGCCTGGACAGGGCATCACCGCCTGGTGCCATCCGACACAGTGACAGCGCTGGAGCTGAGCAACGTTTGGGAGACTCTGCCTTGCCAGATCATGGGGAAGCACATCTGGTCCAGCCAGCTAACAAAGGGTAAGAAGTAAATGTGGGATGGACGTGCCAGGGCAGCACCGGGCAGGAGAAGGAGCCGTTTGCAGATTAAATGCTGCTGTGGTTGTGCAGAGAAGCTGTGGGTGCTCCATCCCTGGCAGTGATCAAGGCTGGGTTCGATGGGGCTGTGAGCAATTGGATCTAGTGCAAGGCATCCCTGTCCATGGCAGGACATTTGGAACTAGAAGACCCTTAAAATCCCTTCCAATCCAAACCATTCTGTGATTCTATGGCAGAGAAACAGAGCAGGCAGCAACAAATTGAAGTGGCAAGAAAAGGGGCATGTGCTGTCTGAGCAGGGGCTGCACCCCTGCTTTTTCAACCAAACCCCAAACCTTTTGGCACATGCTGTCTCTGCTCCCACCCCTCCTCTCAGTTTATAACTTTTCCACGAGGTCTGCTTAGATATGGGTGCCCACTGAGCTGGGTGGGCTGCAGGATGCAGTAGCAGGGCTGGGGCTTGCCCAGGCTCCCTTAAGCAGGCTGTAGCTTGGGAAGGACGACTGGGCTGTTTGTTTATTGCATCAGGCTCAGCTTTCAAACATTTCCCTGCCATCCCCCTCCCCCTCCTTTAATTAATTCTGGGTAAGAAATTCTGGCTTTATTGTGCCACCGAACTGAGGGCTCCCTGTGGGAAAAGTCACACCTTCTGAACAGCTTCTGATACCATGCAAATGAAGGACAAGTCCAGGAAACGCTTTCATCTCAGACCTGTCCAGCCCCCTGCCCATTAATTACACACATTTCATTTGTGTGAGAGCAATTCCTCTCGGGGAGGGGGTGGGGGGGTGGCTGCAGCTTGTGGATCATCTCAGCCCCCCTCTCTGAAGACTCCTCCTTGGAAGGGATTTATAGCCAGGAACGGGGATGCTCAGGGACTCGGTGGGGGATCTCATATTTTGGCTACTCCAAACCGAAGTGGCTTGTTGGTGGGCTGTATCCTGCCAGCGGGGAGGGCTCAGCACTGCCCCATGCCCTGCTCCATACCAGCAAGCCCTGGCTGTGGAACCAAGTGGAGCATCCTAGAGAGACACAAGGTGAAGCAGAAATCAGCTCAGTGCTGTCACAAGGGAATGGCCCTCAAGGGATCAGGAGCTCATGAGATAGATTACTTTGGGCAGGGTGGCCACAAAATGAGTCTCACATATGGAAACATCCTTCTGTGCTGCAACAGCACTCAGCATGTGTTGAGGGACAGCACCAGACTCTGACAGGACACAAA